GGAACTCACTATGTAGCCCAGGCTGGTCTGGAACTCACAGCGATCCTCCTGCCTCAGCCTCTCAAGTGCTGGGATTACAGGCGTGCGCCATAACGCCCAGCAGATTTACTGACTTTATATGCCCAAAGGAGCAGAGACCCAGAGAAATGGGATGAGAATACCAATGCTTATGATGTTTAACGATTGAGGGGTCACCCTCATCTAAAGGAGCTACATTGCCTGGTCCTTGGGCTCGTGGCTGAGGTCACAGAAGTGTTACAGGGCAGGACCATATTCTTTAGGTTCATGTTAGGATGTTAAGGAAGAATGGTGAGAGTAGGATGCCCCTTGGTCTCCAAGAGCCAGCAGGTCACCTGTCTGTCAGGCGCATAAGACTGCAACGTCTCCCACACTATCTCCTGCCTCAATAGTACCAAGAGGGTAAATGGCATATATTGTACAGTGGAGAGTTGCTGAGCTATGGTGTTCAGAAGGTAGGCATACTGAGTGCAGTTACAACTTTCTGTATTTCAGTTTGCAACAGGTTAATGGGGATGTAACCCCATTGCAAGTTGGGAGGTCTGCAGTCCATAGGTGAAACCTGTCTTTGTAGGTATGGTTATTATCTCTAGACCCAACCACCCCAATTTGCATCTTTATCAGTCTTAGAGTTCCACACAGCCCTCTTTTCCATCAGTACTATTGCAAAAAGGCTTATCTGGGACTCACTTCCCTTTATCTCTCCTTCTTTTTAGCTGGATACAACACGAACCAAGTGGGCCTTGGTCTGGAGTGAAAACACTCAAACAGGGTGGGGGCATAGGTCAGTGGTAGCCATGTGTGTTTAGCATGCATAGGCCCCTGGATTCAGTGCACTGCACCAAAAAGAAGAGAAAAAAGAAAAAAAAAAGCCATATCCATCTCTCCTGAGCCAACTCCTGTCAAAATTTACCCAGTAATGAATTTTTCAAATGCTAGAACATCCTCACCCTCTCCTTTCTGACTGGTTTTCCTATTGATGCCCTCCTCTGTTCGCCTTGTCACTCATCCTGGGCCACGATACTGTGTCAGTTTTAATTAGTGTCTTGGTCACTACTTAACTGAAAAAAACAAAGGACATAGCTCAGTTTCAGAGTACAGAAACTCAGAGTAGCTTCAGAAGGAGTTGGCCTTTATGACTAAGGGCCCCATAACATTTTCTGAGAGCCACGCGTGTCTGGGAGTGTGTTTGAACATAGTACTTTGGGTACGTGCAGGGGGGTCTGTCACGTGGATGAAAGGTCAACCTCTAGAATTCCATAACTTTCCAGAACTTCCCTCTCTAACCACTGCCATTTCTACTACCAGCCTGGCTGCTCATCCTGAATCTCAGCCACTTTGTAGTTTACCAGGATCTTCCTGGCTTCATTCCTTTTCCTATCCTTAGACCCTGAGGCCCTTAGGCCAGTCCATCAGTGATATTTCTGTTAACATTGCTTGCTCCTCACTCTGTAAAAATCACACACATGCATCATTTCAGCTCTCTGCCTTTTCTACTCTTCCATCCCAAACCAAGATGGAAATTCCCCATTCCTGTGCAACTGAGCTTATGAGGAGACACCACCTTAGCTTAGGCCACCTGTGAACCCACACGCCAGGTCCCAGGCCCCAGTTTGTCCTGTGTGACTCCAAGTGTTGTGATTGGAGTTTATTGAATGTGAGTTGATCCCTGACCCCAGTTTTGCTAAACATGTCCTGAGGTCTCTGCAGACAGAGGAGGAGGATGCCAGGAGGGCTCAGAGAAGAAATTCGAAGACTTCTCTCCAGGTCCTGGCAGATTCCCAGGCCCTTCCTGAGGCCTTCTGACCTCAGGCGGGTGTGAATCCTTTATATAGAATAAATTGCTTAGGGCCAGGGAGCTAGCTCAATGGTTCTGTCACCTGCCTTGCAAGCACAAGGATCTGAGTTCAATCCCCTGTACCAAAAAATAAAATAAAATAAATTGCTTAGGCTATCTTAACTTGTACCCACAACAGAGCACTACAAATCCACCCTCCTGCATCCGGGCTCTCCATGTACCCAGAAGTCCTTTGCAGTCAGCTTCTCTCCCTCTCCACTTGGCTTCATGGTAAAGGCCAGGGTGGGGGGCACTGTCTCTGTTTTCTCCAAATGCTGACTTTCCCATCCTTTCCATTGCAGCGGAGATATCTCTCTTCCAATCCAAGGGGAATCCTTTCACTGTGATCTCTATTTCACTCCTTTTTTTGACTTTTTAAGAATTTGTCTCCTTTGCTTTCTCCTCTCCTTCATGTGTATTCAACATTTTCTTCTCTGACTCTTTGATCTCAGCATATACATTTGACCAACCAGCCCAACCTTTTTAAAAGTCCAATTTAAATCCCACATACTATTAATTTTTCTCGCTCTCAGCCACCCTTCTGGGAATAAACTATACTTTCCATTTTCCATGTCTGTTTCCCCACTATTGCTGGAGATTGAATCCAGGACCTTCACACTAAGCTACATCCCCAGCTTTTTATTTTTTGATTTAAGAGAGGATCTCTTAGAGTCACTAAGTTGTCCAAGATGGACTCAA